TGGTTTCTGGAAAAATCGTAGTACCATTGATCATTTGGTACGTTTAGAATCCTTTGTTAAAAATGCATTAGTAAATAAACAACATGCAGTATCGATATTCTTTGATCTCGAGAAAGCGTACGATACCACCTGGAAGCATGGCATTTTAAAGGATTTACATGATTTTGGTTTAAGGGTCGTTTCCCTCTTTTTATTTCACAGTTTTTAAAAGACAGGCAATTTCAAGTCCGAGTGGGTTCAACCCTGTCTGACCATTATAATCAGGATCAGGGTGTACCACAAGGCAGTATTTTGTCTGTCACATTGTTTAGCATTAAGATCAACAGTTTATCCAAGGTTTTAAATGATTCAATTGATGGATCACTTTTTGTGGATGATTTTAATATTTCTTGTCGCGGTAAGAATATGCATACCATTGAACGGCAACTACAGTTGTGTTTAAACAAAATAAATAAATGGTGTCTTGAAAACGGCTTTAAATTTTCTAAAATCAAAAACTAATTGCATACATTTCTGCCGTAAATATAAACCGCATAAAGACCCAGAACTGTTTTAAAATGGCACTCCCATCAGGGTTGTAAAGAGGCCAAGTTCTTAGGTCTCATTTTCGACTCCCATTTAACTTTTCTTCAAATCTCTAAAAACTAAATGCCTGAAGGCACTCGATTTATTGAAAGTCGTGTCTAATTCAAGGTGGGGAGGGATCAAGCTACGCTCCTACACCTTTACAGATCACTTGTCCGCTCGAAGCTTGATTATGGCTCCATCGTGCATATGGTGAAGCCTGCAAAAGCAACCTAAAACTTTTAGATTCAGTCCACCATCAAGGTCTGAGACTTTGTCTTGGGTCCTTCAGAACTTCTCCTGTTGACAGTCTTTTACGTCGAGGCAGATGAACCTTCTCTTAACCAACGCCGTATAAAATTATCTGTACAATATATTACAAAATTATATTCTAATGAGTCTAATCCTGCATTTCACTGTGTCTTTAATCCTCTTTGAAAGAGGATATGTATAAAAATCTTCTCTAGTTCCGCCTCTTGGGCTCCAGAATTAAGCCATTTATTGCTACTGCCGGCATTGAGCTGGAAAATATAGCTCCTTCCATCTTCTTTTTCTCCTCCTTGGCAATTGGTTTTAGCCACATGTCGACCTAACACTCACTCAATTTAAAAAATCCGAAACTAATGACTTACAATATAAACAAGAATATAATCAATTAAAAAGTAAATATAATACATATAAATCCTTATTTACAGATGGGTCCAAGGGTGGTGGCGCAGTTGCTTGTGCCACTGTCATTGGGTCCAAAACAATATCTTCCAGATTACCCAATGACAGTTCAATTTTCACTGCAGAAGCAAGCGCAATACTTACAGCTCTTAAATATATTCATAAACATCCTAAATATAAACAATATATAATATTTTCCGACTCTCTCTCTTGCCTTCAAGCTATTAAAAATCTTTCTTGCAAACATCCACTTTTATTAGAAATTATAGAATTATATAATGATCTTGCTACTGGCCAATACGACATCGTCCTCTGTTGGTTACCCAGCCACGTTGGTATTTCTGGGAATACTTTGGCCGATCTTGCTGCCAAGGCAGCACTCAACAAATCTGTGACACCACTTCTTATTCCATACTCTGATTACAAAAGCCAGCATTAGAACTTACATCCGTGATCTGATGCAGAAGAAGTGGGACACTCAAGTAGGTGTTAATAAATTACATGAAATTAAACCCTGTATTGGCTACACTTACTTGGGTTGTCAGTCCAGATTTGAAGAGGTCATTCTGATGACGATGTCGCATTGGTCATACTGAGATATACTCATGCGTACCTATTGAAAGGTGAGGATCCTCCGTTGTGATGAGAAGAACCACGGTCAAGCATGTCCTGCTTGACTGTGTTGAATTCTCCATCATAAGGGATAGATATTTTCATGTCAAAACAGTAAAGGACCTTTTTAGCAATGTTAATTATCATTTAATCATTGATTTTTTAAAGAGATAGATTTGTTAAATGAATTTTGATATATGTTTTGTAAATAGATGAGGTTTTATAATTGGTAGTTCAGATTTTCAACTTAGATTGTTAGTGGCTGTACCCTCAAAGGGGTTGAAGTATTAAAATTATTGTCCTCTTGAGGGGCAATACGTAAGTCCCAACATATTTTGAGTAAATTTAGGCTTACCACGTTTTAATCGTAGAATATGTGTGCTTTTAATTTCTGGCTAGATTTCTCTTCTGTCGCCAATGGCTGAAGGGATGGTGTAAATCCAACTAGGGTCCATGCAGGTAGCAAAGTAATGTAAGTCCCCATGGACCCTAGTATGGTGATCTACCTTCTGTTGTTGGCGATCTATAGCCTGATTCTATATTGTATTGTCCCCCAAGAGTGCTATTAGTTTTAAACTTTCCACGCTAGTTTTAATTCTAATTGTGATAATCTAGTGCCTTTACTGTCCTTCGTTGACAGGGTTTTATATATTATATGTATGTATTATTAATTTAGAACTAGTTTTAGTCACGATATGGCTGAAATATTGCCGATGTGACTTTAAATCTTAACTCACTCACTCACTTAAGGTGCCGAAAAACACCAGGCTGGGATGGTCTTTCATCAGAGTTTTGAAACATTCTGTCAATCACATTTCAACCAGTCTGACATACCTTTTTAATGAAACATTGGCAACTGGAGATTTCCCAATGACATGGTGCACGGCTATTATCTGCCCACTACACAAGAATGGTTTTTAATCCGATCCAAATAAGTATTGAGGAATTTCGCTCCTGCCGGCGATTGTAATGGTATTCACTAAATTATTAAACCAGCTACTTCAACAGTGGATCACAGAAAACAACACCATTCATGAGGAGCAGGCAGATTTTAGGAAAGGGTATTGTGCAGTCGACAGCATATTCTCTCTCTACGGCATGATCGCGAAATACTTGTCTAAATCAGTTGTAGGGAGAATGTACGTCTTCTTTATTAACTTCTCGAAGGCTTCTGATAGCATCAATCATACATAAATGTAGCATCGGCTTATCAAATATGAAATACATGGGAACACCTTAAAAATCTTACGAAATATGTACTCCAAGCTCCAGTCTTGTGTCCGTACAGATAAAGGACTTACGGAATGTTTCCAGTGCTGCGTCGGTACACGCCAAGGTTGTATGGTCAGCCCACTGTTGTTCATTTTAGACATCAAAGAACTAGTCACTGAAATGTCAACGTCTAACTGTAAAGGAATATTTATATCAGAGGAATTCCCTAATGTATGTTCACTTCTCTACGCCGATCCTGTTGCTAACGCCGCGGACTCTGTATTTTTTGTATAAAATGGGGGTTGACGTTAAATATGCAGAAATCAAATAGCGTTGTATTCCGTAAAGGTGAATATTTACGTTCATATGAAAAATGGTACTACATAGGAACAACCATTACATCGAAAGAACGGACTAAACAGTCAGTCGGGGGTTAATATTTCCTGCCGTTTGTAAAAGACAGGACATACCAATCTACCAGATCTATGTAGTTTTAAGCCTAGATACATGTAACAGTCAACAATCTCGAGTGTATGTGTTCCAAAATAGAATATATGTTTACTTTTAGAATGTACTCCACCACCAAATATTACAATTTTGGTTTTGGATATACTGACATCAAGTTTCCACTGCACTTAATACATACGGAACGAATTTAATTATCTCTGGAGTCCATTTGGACTTTGACTAACAAGTACTGCGTCATCTGCATATAAGAGAATAAATATGTCTAAACCAACATCACATCTAGACCCTCGATATGAACACCATCACAATTATCATCAGAAATGTGTGACTCAAGATCATTTCAGAACAGTGAAAACAATAGTGGTGATAGGTTTTCACCTTGTCTTACACCACACTCTGTAGTCTGAATTATTATTTGCACATACCCGCAACATCTTTAACGAGAGGGGAGGATATATGTTGTTCCAGTCCATGATTACTCATCTCTCTTATGACCAGCCAGACAGTATTCATCCGAAATTAAAACCACATTTGACGTCAATCCCATGCCCACATAATAATATGCATGATGATTATATAGTGGGTGCTACCGCTAGAGCATAACAACCTCGGATATCATGAATGCTTTTGATCGATCCCATTATTAACAAAGACTTGGTTGCAGCGACCTTGAAGTTAGGTTGGATTGAGGCGGGTATACCGATCCCAGAAACGATAAAGGGTACTCCATCTTTAAGAGGTCCAATTGCAATGTTACCATTGGCAGCATTCACTCTCCTCATTCGCCACTTTGGACGGTGGGCTAGCCTAGTGGTTAAAGCAGTTGCTCGTTACGCCGAAGACCCGGGATCGATTCCCCACATGAGTACAATGTGTGAAGCCCATTTCTGGTGTTCCCCGCCATCATATTGCTGGAATATTGCTAAAAACGGCGTAAAAAACCTCACTCACTCGAATACCACCAATTGACGTGTTGGGATTGTTTGGAAATATACCAAAGTTAACAATTGCAAGTTGCAAGCTGCAGATTTCCTATAGTCTGGTCTGGATCACCTGCAGAGGTGTCAGTGTGTGGCGTTTCAGGACGAAAGAGCTGTATAAGAAAAGGACACGTAAAACAAGGGCAGTGTAAGAATAAAAAGCGGCGTAAAACCATACTCTCACTCACTCACTCTCAATTGCCACTTCCCATGAGTCGACAAACATATGGCAAAATGCTTACTGACGTTTGACCTTCTATAACCATTGCTACTGCATAATGATCACAGTTTGCACGTGCATGTTGCATACATTTGTGTTCATTCATATAAAAATTGTTACATCCAGGTGCAAAAGGTTCAAACGGTTGCGTGAGTGCACAACACCAGTTAACGAACGATCAAAACAAGAAGTATTGCACGTTTCATGATTAATTAACTGAAATCGCCCTTCTCATTATCTCTTCTGTGTTCCATTTTACTAGTACAATCCATGGCGTCCTTGCAGTAATTCTTTATTCCCTTTTTATCATCGTCACTGTACACAAGCACAATTGCACAGTTGAACCCATGATTGCAGTGTGCCTACTGATTAAATGTTTCATGGTATAAAGATAATGCGAATCAACCATTAGGTGGGATTTCCAGATTAATAAGTGTCCAGATTAAATAAAATATGGGTAACTTGCAAGGTTCCACTGTGTACTGATTAACTAACAAGGAGTTCAGTTCTCCAACACAAGCGTTGGCTTTATCTAAGATTTCAAGGCCTCTCTTTCCGGTAGGGTGGAAGTAAGTGTTGTCTCCAAGTCCGGATGTTCTGACCTTGCACAGTTCATCAGTAAACCAAGTATGGAGGCCAAAAGAAAAGACGAAGCTGGAGGAAAGGAAATTAAATGATTATCTCGGTAAATAGATAGTAGACTGTCGGCAGAGCTGAAATGTTCGTAAATGGAGCAAGAGCAATGTGTCGACCTGACTATCATTTCCTGATCGTGGAATGTCGAGGGGCGTGCCGGACATAAAGTATTGATTGATTGAAACGATTAGGTTGAAATGGTTAGCTTCTCACTCAATATATAACAGGAAAAGCCTTTTAAATGGCAACGTTGGAAGCACATGAGTAAATTAAGAAATTTGGTGAGAAGGACATGAGATGATTTGGGGGGTGAAGCTGATTTCAAGAGCACCACGATGGCCATACCTTCGGCTATTAGAGATTTGCTTCTGTTAAAGATCTGTACTCGCATCGCAAATAGGGTACTCTAATCTCCAGTATATGACATTTTATATCAAAGGTCTTTGTCATGTCTAACCATATCTGGAAATGAATTACTAGTGACGGACGGAAGAAACATGGTTCTATATATTGCTTCTACTTTAAGGCGGATGGTAACGAGTCATCAAAAGGCCCCCGCTTATTTGCAAATGTCATGTGAATCCTACCCCTTCAAGGATCGTAAAGGGTTGTTTGCCTCAGCGTCTAAGGATCGGAAAGTGTGCCATGACCCTAAACTAACCCTAAACCCAAACCCTAACCACAAGGATCGTAGACAGGCAGCGAAGGGAGACAGTGCTAGAGGGCGATAATTGCTCCGCAACGAGCCGCACGGTCTGCACCCGGTACAGTGCCCTCCTGCCAAGAAATTCACCCATCCAAAATGCATCTCGTTGCATGTGTAAGACTTGTTCAGAAGTGACACTGCAGGGCCAGTGTCTATAGGGATCGTAAGTAGGTCACTGCACTTCGCGAGACCTTAGTATTTCCGGTGACAAACAATGTTTCATACCTTTTAGAATGGTTTCGTGGTTGTCAGTTGGCAGTCAGGAACCGATAATCCTTGCAGGAATAACAAATTTCCGATCATACCATCCCCAAATTAGCCAATGATTTCCGACAGCTGTGACACCCAAGCATGGTTGAACACTTCGACAGGTCTAGCAAAGTCATATTTGTCGGTCGCGCAATTTGGAACCAGAACTGGTTCTTGAATATACGCTTGTCATCGGAAATCTGGTACTGGAAGTAAACTGGGCCCCGTCTTGCATGTAGCAAGTCGGTGCACGCAAAGGGAGCCGGGAACCAACTGAGTACCGGAAGTGGCGCCTCACGAGACTTACAGGTATAACATGTACGCTCAGCACTTGCGGTACTGTTACTGAAGATGTCTATCCAACCAATTCCTCGAAAACCTGTCGGCCGTTTCGCTAAATTCATGGGAAAGCTAATAGGTGCAAGTAAATTGTAATGGATTTTCCGATTCTGCAATTCGAAATTATGCACTGAACAGTACAAGTGTGCTCTAATACGTGTAAAATTGCTTTGAATTGAAAGTGTAACAGTTTATCAACGTTTTTTATCAGTAAAAACACCGAATGTGCTTGAATTAGAAATTTATAGAAAACACGATTTCCGCATTAACTATGAAGTAAAGTGGACAATAATTTCGGATTACCCACATGGTCACGTGGCTCCTAATTTGCTGCAGCTATGGAATCATTTTGGAATTGCCAAAATACAAAGAGACTATGTATCACTGGCTGAAAGTTCAGCTTAAATAACCCAAGTATATATTATCGAGAGAACTTTCACCTGAGAGACAAATTCAGACTGATTAAAAGGTAACAGAGCTGACATGGACGGAGCGTCAAGGCAGTATGTCAAGAAAATTGCACATGGTGTATTTTGGTATCAACGTACCGACGAATTTCACTTTAAGCAAAAATATAAATCAAATAAACTGAAATTAAGATTGCGAATCCTCGATTTACTTTTTTGTTGACAATGAAATTCATCGGTACGTTTTCACTGCAATCAGACTATAGTCGTTATGTCGAAATGAGTGACGAGGGGCATCGATGTTGACGGACAGTGTTGTTTAATTGAGCGCCGATATACATTACACACATCGGGTTAATTTCACAGTCGATATTGAATCAGCTTTGATAAGTTATGAAGCTGGCCTGAACATCGAGACTTTCAAGAGGGAAGAGGAGCTGACCGAAAACTCTATTCAGAGGAGGATTGTGACCTACCTACACAGTTCAGATCAAGTACAGAATGTAATGTCAGTATGAAGTAGAATGGTGATGATGGGTCAAAACGTTCAAAACGTCGAGATCGATGAAATGGCGATACGTCATTGGTGTTGTACATTGAAATTCTCACCTGAAAATATGAAGGCAGTCTGATAGTCTCCCGTCGCCTCATACAGCATTCCTGAAACAGTAGGTAAGGTGTAAACCTATCTCAATTCTACAATGTCATGTCAACTTTCATGAGTTCCTTGGTTTTTTTGCTTAGCGCCCACCATCCCATGACTCGGATGTCCTTCAGTGCATTTCAAACAGCTCCATGTAAAGGTGTTGATATACATTATGGGGGATACGATTATAATTATACACCGTGTAAACATAAATGATCAATTCCAAGTGAACGATATCATTTAACTATGCTCTACAATAAATGAGCTCAGAAACTGATCCACACTCTGTACTTACCTGCTATGGGCCCTCCGATGAGGTACCCCATCCCGCACGTAAACATCACCCAACCCATGGCGGATGCTAGATGATGAACTCCCACAATGGCGTATGTTATTGGGTTAAAAAGGGTCCATATGCCGCCATTATATACTCCATAACAAAAGGAAAATATTATCCTCAACACAGACGTTCGAGTTAAGGGGTGTATGAAGAACACAAGGACACCAGTGAGACCATTGACCCCAGAGTACAGAAGCGACGGTCCAATCTTGGGGTCTGTTGCAGCAAATCCGAGGCAGATCCTGGACACAATGCTGCCGACACCGATAACTGACACTAGCGACGACGCATGTTGGAAGGTCGCCCCTTGTTTCATCACAAAATCAGGGAAGTACAGCTTCAAGGTCGAGTTTCCAATTGTGAAGGTCATAACGCTTAACAGATACAAAGAAAAGGCCATGTTTAGGAAGTGTGGTATAGAGCATGAGCGGACTTGGTTGAAGCAGGATTGACATCTTGAGGCTAGGTTCTCTTGGTTGGCTTCTCCGTCTTCTTGATACCTCACGTGTCTTTGACGCTCGTGTTGGGATGGTCTCATGAGAAAACCACACACACAAGACTGAAAGGTCAGTGCTCCCAGGAGAAGGAAGGCCCCTTTGAGTCCATACTCATCCACTAGGTACTGTGTGAGAGGGGGGCAGAAGAAAGTTGCCGATGCCAATGCCAACTATTCCTATCCCCGTGGCTAGGCTTGTCCGCTTCTTGAAGTAAAACCCTAGTAACACGAGGCAGCCAGTGTAGCACAATCCTTGGCCAAGTCCTAGAAATGCAATTTAGATAATTAAAAAGAGAACAACATCGTTATGTTTCATTTATAGAGAGAACAGCATCGCTGTATTTCATTTATCATGTGCGAATAGATTGGAAACATATGCTTCTTTTTTCATCGAGACTGGAATTTGTAAATTTGGGCAGTTCAAGAAATTATATTCATGTATCTGACAACTATTTTCAATTGTCAATTGCATATCTTTCACAAACTATGTCTAGCTTTTACGATCGACTACTTTGTGCTGACAAAACAAATCTTGAAAAAGAAAAATATATAAAAAGCAATAATCAGCTATCACCGGTTACAAAATTAGTAACTACTCATACATGACTTCTTTGAGAGGCATTTTAGAAGTTGTATAGGTGAAGGAAAACCAAGTTCTATTCATAGTCAATTTCTTTATTGCAATGAGTGCGACGTTTCGGTGTAGGTACTAACACCCTTATCAAGCAAGTTACCTACACCGAAACGTCGCACTCATTGCAATGAAGAAGTTTACTATCCATAGAACTTGGTTTTCCCATAGAACTTGGTTTTCGACGTTTCGGTGAATGCACTAACACCCTTATCAAGCAAGTTACCTACACCGAAACGTCACACTCGTTGCAATGAAGAATTTGACTATCCATAGAACTTGGTTTTCCTGCGACGTTTCGGTGTAGGCACTAACACCCTTATCAAGCAAGTTACCTACACCGAAACGTCACACTCGTTGCAATGAAGAATTTGACTATCCATAGAACTTGGTTTTCCTGCGACGTTTCGGTGTAGGCACTAACACCCTTATCAAGCAAGTTACCTCCACCGAAACGTCGCACTCATTGCAATGAAGAAGTTGACTATCCATAGAACTTGGTTTTCCTTTACTCATACAGGAACGTGTTCATCTCATACTGCCAGCACAACAGACTCTCTACCTCATACCAGTGACCACTGCTCCCATGTATGTCCATACTCACCTGCCATCAAGGCATGTGTGAAGGAAAACATTTATGTCAAACTACGCTTACGTTAAATTCCGACCCCACACCCGTGCCCCTTGTCCTGACTTACCCGCCATCAGCGCGTATGTGAGGAAGAGCCAGCGTATGTCATCAGCGAGGCTACTGGAAGCAAACCCAACGAGGCCAAGCACACCGCTTACTATGACACAACACCGACAGTTCCATCTGTTGATGATGAAGCTGGCCACGGGACCTGAATTAAAAAGGGAAGGTAGAAATGTATTTCAATACTTTCCTCAGAAAAACAGCAGGGGCAATTGTGGACAGAACCATGAAAAAGAATCATGAAACCTGTTTCTTCCTGCCTCACCAAACACAACCTGTGCCAAACCAACGTCTATGACTACCAAAAGGCTAACAGGCCTGTCTGTGAGTGAGCTGATTTAACATGAGATTGAACAGTATTCACTGTTAGCACTAAAACCTGTAAGCTTACTGTGAACCAAACACTTAGGGATGCAAAACGTAGATGTTGTCAGCTTTCAAGCTACGACCACAGGTGTGGCGCTGGCAAACCAAGTATGATAAACAAGGCTACCCAACTGGACTGTCCGTCCTACGATACGATTTTTCTGATATTTTCTGAGTTGTGTTGAACCCTTCTTCAGCCTGCCAGCACACTGACTAATGAAAATATCATCTGTGTCGTGTTTAGGTACTACTTCTAACATGCTGTGAAAATACCTGAAAGGGCAAACATGCAGGAGTAGAGAGAGCCAACCCATGACGTCAGTGTGAGGTCATCTTGAAACGTCTCGAGAAGCGCCACGTGCATGACGCCAGCAATACTGGATAGGCTCGTGTTGAGGAAAAGAGCACAAAGCGACGCCACTACCACCACCCATGCCCATGGCTCGAGTCTGTCGGACATGTTGTTAGCTCATCTGGGTCTGTCAGAACCACTGTAATGAGAGGTATGCATATGGGACATGAAACATCCTTAGTAGCTGCCCAAAAGACAGTTCTGAGAAACTTTTTCATAAATAACTACTGGGTTTCTGTCTAACCAACTCTCCCACTCATGGTGTCCTCATATGAGGATGGCGCCACAATTTATCTTTATATATATGACAGTATTGTTTGACTTAATGGCAAGCTATATAATAAAATGACTATACAGTACAACCAGAAATTATTGAGAATTTACAGATTGTTAATGTTATTATTTTTTTCACTAATTACTCACGTAATAAATGTTAAGATGAGCAGAACATAACTCCAGATTCAAAGACAGGTGAACAGTTTGTATTTTGTCAAGTCACCATGGGCAGCAATGCAGGCTTCAGCGCGGCGGGGCATACTACTGATCAAAGAAGTTAGAAAGTCGTGGTCCATGCTGTCCCAATATCGGACCACCTCTTCTTTCATTTCAGCAATATTTGTCAGATTTTTCTTATTGACACTTTCCTTCATAAGTCCCCAAACATTTTCTATTGGATTTAGGTCAGGGCCATAGCTTGGCCAATCTAATAATGTCATATTTTTGGTCCGAAATCAAGCCTGTGAATGCTTTGAACGATGTTTTGGGTCGTTGTCCTGCTGGAACATCCAAAAACTTCCATAGAACACGTGAGCAGATGGAAATAAATGTCCCTCGAGAATATCTGTGTACCGCTCACTGTTCATATTCCCTTCAAATACACAGAGGGGCGTTGCCCCTAACACAGATATGCCACCACACATATTGAATTTCGTACTGTACTTTGGGTGCTGATACAAAAGTTTTTCAGTTTGTTTGGTCCAGAATTTCAGTGTATTAGGAAACAGCCACACAGAACTTTCATCTGAGAAAATCACATTGTCCCAGTTCAAATTTCTATGCTGTAAGCACCAGTTCAACCTTCGCTCCTTTTGTTCAGGTTTCATGATCGGTGATGAAATTCCTCGACTTTTCTGCCAACCCATTGCATGCAGCTCAGTTCTAATTGTCTCCTTACAGACAGCCACAGTTCCTCTATCAATCATATCCAGCCTTAAGTTTTCTAAACTCCTTCGTTTGTTTTTAGAAACAAGAATACCAAGCCGCCAGCTGACCAAAAGTCAATTTTCTGGGCCTACCTGCGCCTCCCTGGTGCTCAATGCCATATCCATTTGCAATATTTTTCAAAACACGATAAACAGTGGACAAAGGGATGCCTGTTCTGCTTGAAATCACTTTAGCTGATCTGATGTCTTTGTTATAATACTCTAAAATCAACATCCCCTTCTCTAAATCATCCATACTGAGGATCACTGAAAATGTCGTCTGCTAGCAAGTAAACAAAGGGGATAACTCTTTCTGATATACTAGAAATCAAACTAAACATATTCCTAAAATTCTCAAAAATTTCTGGTCATACTATAGCATGACTATATTCACTGATATACCGCAATGTAGGTCCGGGGTAATTACCGAACTCGAGACTGTGTGACCTATATCTCTAGATGCAATCTCCACTCCACGTACACATGGGGCCGTGCGCCTGGATATCTTTGTCTGTTGCAACAGCTGTGTGTAGATGCGATAGCAAACTTACAATTCGTTGAAATCTTATTAGACCACTGAATATTAAGTTAAATGATATTTATAGTTATATTTGTAATTTAAGAAGAACAATGAATAGATATGGTTGAATAAATTTATCAATCGATATAGGATTCACTATTTAAATTCCATCTGCTCACTGGATAAGATTAATGACGCATGTGGTCATATGTGTAGTTGATTTAATGTTGCAATGTATCAGGTATATTTACAAATATGTAAAATATCGTTGTTTGGTCGGTCGTGAACAACCTCCTAGCAATTGTAGTTACAACTTTAAAGACCGCCTCCGTGGTGTAGTGGTTAGAGCGTCCGCCCGGAGAGCGGAAGGTCGCAGGTTCGATCCTCGATCGCGTCATACCAAAAGACGTTAAAATATGGTACTTGTTGGTCCCTGCCTGGCGCTGGCATTAATGGGTACAACAAGGACTGGTTGGCTCGGAGTCAGTATAATGTGTCTGAGTGGGGTATTCATGCTTCACTGCGGCATGGTATCTCAGTGGGCTAGCACTATAAAACCAGCTTTAGTCTGGGCTAGTACAAGCAGCCGCACATACACATACACACACATGCATGTCGTCATATGAGCGAAATATTCTCAAGCACGACGTTAAACCCAATTTCACCTCACCTCACCTACAACTTCAAAATTATGGATTTGGATGCTGCCGAAGAGGAACATGTAGAATGTCTTTCGAGGTGGGTAAAGTAGATGAGTGGCGTTAATGGTAGAATGCACAACTTAAAAAGAGGAAATAGATTTGGAATAGACCCATTATGTCCCAGCCAGCTGTCATCCAAAGTCTTATTTCCCTAAATGAAACGTCTGTAGTTGTTCCCACTAACAAGGACTCAAATATTATAACCATTACATGTAGACATCACTGCATTAACTGTTTCTACCAGGAGAACTTGCTGTACGTGACATATCAAATAATGCCACATATAAGGCCAGTGTGTTAACTGGGGAAGAAATCTGTCTAAACCATTCATCGGTGCAGTCAACGTTTGTCTTGACTCTGAAACCAGAAGACACGCCCATTCCTCTTTAGTACTGGCTTCCAAAGCTCCATAAAATATTTAATAGAAAGAGAGATATAGTGCTGGGTCAAGCATATATACCACCATATCGCTGTCAAAAAATATCCATAATCTTTAATACTATCAAGGAAGGACTATATATCAGAAAGTATTTGAGACAAGCAGAATTAACATCATCTGGTTCTCAAAACTTCAAAGACTTTGAACACCGGACCGTGTTCAGATCTGTCAAAACATTTGATTTTTCAACGTTGTACACCACTATCCATGACAAACTGAAGGAAACTTTTCATTCTTTAAACCATGAATTACAGGTACGTGAACACAGGTATACTTATTTAAACCACTAGGGAAAGTTCTGTCCATTGTCCTTGGAAGTGTTTTATTAGCATAACTGAATAACTGTCCTAGGGCGATTTTGTCTTTTTAAAACAATCTATTTCTTTGTGCATATGAATCATAGTTTCTGCTCGGTTTGGCAAAATTCAAACATGTAGTTTGGCCAAGAAATTTAACTTAAGCTTCCGGTATATCCATGATCTAACATCGATCAATAACCAAGGAGAATAATAATTAAGGAATCAAGCGAGACAGCCTCAACTGGTCCATTTTAAGATCTATGCATAAAGATTCACAGTGACAAAAACTCTCCACAAGGCTGTATGACAAGTGGGATGATTTAAACTTTCCAACAGCCAAATGTGACTTGTCTTTGACGGGTGTCACCGGTGGGGCGGAATACGATCAGGGTTCCGCGAACGCCTGGTATCATGACTATGTGATTTACCCATGAAGATCCGGGTTAGCATTGATATTCAGCAACCCAAGTTTGTCGTAAGAGGCGACTAACGCAATCGGGTGGTCAGGCTTACTTACTTGGTTGATATGCCATCGTATCCCAATTGCGGGGTGGTGGGGTAGCCTATAGTGGTTAAAGCGTTCGCTCGTCACTCCGAAGGCCCGGGTTCGATTCCCCACATGGGTACAATGTGTGAAGCCCATTTCTGGTGTCTCTCGCCGTGATATTGCTGGAATATTGCTAAAAGCCACGTAAAACGTCACTCACTGTCGCTGTATCCCAATTGCGTAGATCGGTGATGATAATCACTGGATTATCTGGTCCAGACTCGATTAGTTACAGACAGCCGCAATATAGCTGAAATATTGCTGACTGCGGCGTAAAACTAAACTCACTCACTCACTACAGACAGCCGCCATATAGCTGGAATATTGCTGAGTGCGGCGTAAAACTAAACTCACTCACTCACTCACTACAGACCGCCGCCATATAGCTGGAATATTGCTGAGTGCGGCGTAAAACTAAACTCACTCACTCACTCACTACAGACCGCCGCCATATAGCTGGAATATTGCTGAGTGCGGCGTAAAACTAAACTCACTCACTACAGACCGCCGCCATATAGCTGGAATATTGCTGAGTGCGGCGTAAAACTAAACTCACTCACTCACTCACTCACTACAGACAGCTGCCATATAGCTGGAATATTGCTGAGTGCGGCGTAAAACTAAACTCTCTTACTCACTCACTATAGACAGACGCCATATAGCTGGAATATTGCTGAGTGCGGCGTAAAACTAAACTCACTCACTCACTCACTACAGACAGCCGCCATATAGCTGGAATATTGCTGAGTGCGGCGTAAAACTAAACTCATTCACTCAGTTTTATGGAGACGATGTAAATTATCAACCGAGTGACGTAACGTGACGCAACCTCGAAAAGCGTATGTTACTGGAGACCACACTGACGTCATACACGCAACCTCGAAAACGTCACGACGATGACGTCATACGGTCTCGTGACGTCACGATCTCTACAAACGAAGGTAGTGACGTCACTTGATGGTGACGCAACCTCGAAAATATACGGCCACACTGACGTCATACACGTATGACGTCACGACGATAGGTCTCGTGACGTCACGACCTACAAACGAAGGTAGTGACGTCACTTGATGGTGACGCAACCTCGAAAATATACTACCACACTGACGTCACGCCCTACAACGACGGTATTGACGTCACGTGGTCATTGAACCGTCACAAATAAGGGTAATGGTCGTCTAGTACGTGTTCGTGCATGTACGTGTGTGTGTGTGTGTGCGCGCGCGCGCGCGCATGTGACCTCTACTAATGACGTCACACAAACAAAAATGGCGACCATAAGAATCCCATCCGTCAAGCTAAATTCTCAATTACTCTCAGACGCGTTTTTACCTCATAAATGCACCATTAGCGTGCCAATAATATTTGAGTTTTTTTAAGGAGGCTAGGGAATCTCGTGCTGTCTATGTAAAGCTCTCTACAATACTAGAC